AATTTCATGTACATTCCTTAACGTATTATTTCCTTGTACCATTGTCGTGTTATTTTTTTTTTATTAATCTTTCGATATTCGATAATCGTATTGAATCTTGATTAATTCAAAATTGAATCGTATCAGATCCCATGAGAAAAACTCTTTCAGCACTTAATTTTTCATTTATAAGACTCGAACTTAAGATTTATATAAAAAAATCGTGTTTCTTTCACTTGAACTAATAAATCGTTGGTGTCATTGCTGTGTTAATGCTTCCAAAGGAACTCAATCTAAAAATGTACGCTAAACTCAACTCTTTCATCATCAAATACCTTAAGAGAGTTCGAACTGTAAAACAAAAAGTAATGGATGGGTACAGCCCAAGGTTAGAAGCACTTGCATAAAGTGATTTTAGTTTTGTGATACCTATTTCACGTGATATTTTTTTGTTATATAATTAAATCTAAGCAATTTAAAACGAGAAAATTTTTATTAAGAAAATAATTTCTGCAGTGTACTCTTCACACTGGAGTGAAAAGCAATGGGAGTTTCCAGAAAATCGTAAAGTTTCAAGATTTTCAAAAGAAATGTCAAGACAATGGCATGCCTTCTCCGGCTACACCTATGGCGCTAACGGCGAGATGGAGCCGCGGCACAAAGCTGCTCGTACGTCGCTGTCAAGAGATTGCTCATCCGTCCGTCGAGGAAGGAAAGGAGGAAGAGGAATCATCAGGTGTAGAGTCTTTTTGTTGGATTGGCCCATGGAAGTGGCCCAATATTTTCAGGCTTTAGCCCGAGATGTTAATTACAGGCTAGGTGTCCAACTATTACAGGGGCTACACAAACCCAGATACAATTAATTCCAGGCAAAACCCTATATTAAGCTCTCAAACTTATTCCAGATTCTCCATTAAGCCCCTAGACTTTTATTAAAGCAAATAAGTTCTTAAAGTTAAGGATTTGGACAATTTAATCATTTTTCTTATAATAGACTTTTAATGTCTGATTGTGTGTTTCTTGTATAGACAAGATCAATACCTACCATATAGGTAATGACATGTTAATACCTTATTCACACAAACAAGGCACAAATAAGTATTAAGTCCATTATAAAACAAAGGGTTAAATTGCATACACTCTATACTTATTGCATTTTTTTATTGTTCAAATTATAGAAATATTATTAATAAATAGATATGAAAGATATTTTATTAAGATTATTATAATAATTTTAGCACTTAAATTGTAAAAAAAAATAATTTGTATTGAAAAACACTTTTCTATTTGATTTTTGTTTTTTTATTTTATTTTATTTTATTTTTCATCTTTGGATTCAGCTAATCCAACTTAAATGACCTTTAGAGAAAATCTGAAAATTTTTTTCCTTTGGGATTTTAGGAATTTTTTATGTGGGTTATTTTTTTATGGAAATTTTTTATGTGGATTATTATTTCCTAGAGATTTTACAACTCGAATAAAATCTAGCAAATGACCAAGTCAATATAGTGAATCATTATTTTGGGCTGACTTGTCTTATAGATGCCTCTATTTGAGAAGAAGAATAAAACATGGAAGGGAGAGAGAGAAGGAGTTAATTTATAATAATTAAATTAATTTTGGATTTTGAAAATATTAGGGTTGTGATTTAAGGTTGCATTTAGCGTTGCTTCTTCACCATATTTTTTTATTAATATAAAAAGTCAATTTTGAATTTTACAATTATGGCTTTTGTTAGTCTATCATTAAGGAAGAGATCGAGATAAAAAAA